ACCTGGATGGAGATGGTGGCGTGCTTGACCCGAAGCGAATCCCGCAAGCCGTAGAAGATGGAGGAGGAGAGCTCCTTGGCGACGAGACTGCCCACCTCCAGCCGCTCCTTGAAGGAATGGGCCTGCATGTTCTTGAGCTTGTTTTGGATGGCCTCCATCTTCTCTTTCTCCTCTTTGTCTTCCTCCTCGGTTCGCTTGATGCTCTCCTTCAGCTCCATCACCTCTTCGTCGGCGGGTATGCGCGCGCTCAGCTTCGGTTCTTCCGGAAGCTGGGTGTCGCTGGTCTCATCGATCGCCGAGGCTTCGTCATCTCCCCTTTCGGTATTTACATTCCGAATCGGTGCCTCCGCGCCGCTGAGCTCGAGTTCGCTGAGCTCCGCCGCTTTCTCAGGGACTTCAGCTTCCTGTTGGACCTCAGGTCGAGTATAGTCTTCCACTTCGTCATCGCTGCTATCGTCCAGGACCTCGTAGGCTCCCTCGGCGGAAGCAGCGACGCCCTTTGGCGTCTCGTCCTTCTCGGCAGCGTGTTCGTCTTCATTCTCGCTCTCTCCTCCGGGCTCGCCGTTATCCCGCTCGACGTTCGCTCCTATCTGCTTCTCCTCGCCACTATCGTTGTCTCCATCGTCACCATTTTGCTCGTTCTTCGCCTCCTCCGCCTGGTTCGCCTCCTTTTCAGAAGTCTGCGTCTCGCGTGCGACAGTTGCAGGTTTGGTCGATGAGGAGTCGGTCTCCTTCTCGGGTGAGAGTTCTTCCGTCTTTTCTTCATCCTTGACCTCTTCTTCGCCCGCTTCTTCTTCCTCTTCAACTGCTTCTACTGGAGGAGCCGAATAGTAATAGGAGGCAGGTCGATCGGTGAGCCACTTGGCTTTCGGCGAGTCGCCCGGGTCAAAGTTCATGCTCGCCGCCAGCGGATCGGGGCGGGAAGCCTGAAGCGCAAAAGGCGAGCCAGCATAAGCACGAGCACGAGCACGAGCACGAGCACGAGCACGAGCACGAGCACGAGCACGAGCACGAGCACGAGCACGAGCACGAGCACGAGCACGAGCACGAGCATTAGCGAGTTGAACCGCACCTTCGGGCCACTGTAGTCGTCTATCTTGCGAGTAAAGTAGTCAACCGGAAGAGAAGCAGACATCAGAGGGGCTGCTTCGGCCACTTTAGCCGGTCGCCTGCAGGCACAAGCGGTATCAGAAACCGTATAGAACGGATGTCGAATGTGACTGAGATGGAGTGGCGGTACGCGGTGGGAGACATACCCCTGGAACTTATTAAAGCATTTGTCGCAGACTCGGACGGGAGTGGGATGCTTGGGTGGCAGGGCCAGCGATTTACTCGAGCAGTTCTGGCAAAAGCAGCCACCACAAGCCCTGCAATGATGCTACGCAATTGAAGAAGGAAATTGAAGAGTAATCTTGATTAGCATCGGCAGGGCGGCCTTGCACAAAGATCTAAAGTACCTTCCAGGGGATCCACGAAGTTGCTCCACAAGATTGGCAACACGATGAATCGACCCTGGGATGGAGAAAAACGTCAGATCGGAGGCACCGCTACACCATTCCGAGGAAACGAACGAGATGGAGGCGAAGGGGAAGCGCACCAGGCTACTTCCTTGGTGAAGTTGATGGGAGCATCAGAAGAGGGCGAGCTCATTCAGCGACTCCTGCCTTGATGCTTTATCTTATATCTTGATGTAATTTGATGAACACAGGTTGGCCACGTTTGCTCCGTGACTTTTGCTAATTCGTTTTGATGGGACTTTCGCTGCTTTCCGCCGCAAGAAAAAGCCACACAATTTCTTCACTCTTTTCCGTGGAATTTTATTTTTATTTCTTAATAATCAATAATTAGGCCAACCATCGCCACGAGGGTTCAGTTGAGGAAGAGGTAATACGAGGAAGAGATGGAACACTCGACTCCAGCGGCTCTGGCGGAGC